CTTGCAGTTGTTGACAGCTTTCACGGCCCAAGCTGGCGCCAGATTTGGATCCGACAGCCACTGCGCCCCTGGTTTCTGGCGTCCCCTTCCAGACAGTCCAAGGCGCAGTGGATGTGGATGTGAATTTCGCCCGCCGGAGAGGGCCGATGAGGCGGACGAGGGGCAGGGGACGCCGACGACGAGCGGGGGGACAAGGAGAACGGTAACGATCGTTGCTATCGTCGTGATCGCTGTGATCATTACGGTGTTATCGCTGTTACCGCTGCGATCGTTGTCGAGAGTCCCGCCCCGGCGTCTCCGCCCCCCAGCGGAAGCCCCACGCCGCCCGCCGCCTTGGCGCTGCAGCGTCCCCCCCCCCTCCCGCCGCAGGACGAGCGCAAGCGCATCGAGGGTGCAGGCGCGCCCGGGGGCCCTCGGACGATCGGCGCCGGCCCCCGGGGGGGAGGGGGGGGGAGGGGGGGGGAGTGGCCAGGGGGGATCTTCCTCCTCCTCCATGCTCCTCCTCCTCCTCTTCTTGTCGCGCAGGAGCACCTCTTCCTCCTCCTCCTCTTCCTCCTCCTCTTCCTGCTGCCCCCGGCGGGGAGGATGGGGGGAGTGGCGAGGGGGGATCTTCCTCTTCCTCCTCTTCCTCCTCCTCCTCCTCCTTCATCCTCCTCCTCTTCCGCTTCCCCTTCCCATTCGCAACGACCAGCAGCACGAACAAGAGGAACCGTGAGCAGGAGAGGAGGGGGCAGGAAGCTACGTACACGTGGACCTTCGGAAGTCTGCGCTGATGTATTGGCTGCGCCGGGGGTGCCGCCCGCGGCGCGCTCCGCACGCCTGTTCCGACTCCAGACCTCCGCACGATCCGAGGAGCATCCTCGCCACCTTCGGCAGCTGAGCGGCTCTTCCCTCGTGTGCCCCTCCTCCGTCCTCCTTCCAAGCCTTCGCGGTGCGGATCGGCTCGTCACATGGGATCGGGGCCCTCGACGGCCGCTCAGAGAGGAGAGCCCCAGGGCCTCCCGGGCGGCCGAGAAGGACACAGCACAAGGAAGGCGCGCGCGCGGCTCCTGTTCTGAGTGCGTAGGAAGAGAGCGGAACGACAACACTGCTCCGTCCTCCTCCTCCTCCTCCTCCTCCTCCTTCCCCCGCCTCCTCCAGCCGTGCTGCTCGCTCTCTCTCTCTCTCTCTCTTTCTGTCCTCCCAGGCTGCGGCTCACCGGACGAGCCTGCCCAGGTGCAGGTCGGCTCGCCTGGCGTTCCTGGCATGCCTGGCGACCTTTGCGCCCGCAGGCGTTCGTGGCCGCAGCTTGGCATCGCGCCATGCGGTCGCACCGTTCTCCTTCCCCGTCGCCCCCACCTCGCTCGCGCAACTCCCTCGGGCCACGGTGCGCTACCGTCGGGAGTTGTGGCTCAGCGTGCCGCGCCGCCAGATCTGGCCCGCCACGTCGTGGCAAGACACGCGAGCCGCGTCCGGGAGCCCGAGCGTCAGCGCCCCAAGCCTTTTCTCCTGGCCTCCCGCCGCGCGGGGCGGAGCGGCGCGCCACCCGCCTGCAGGGCAGGGCGCGTCGCCGGGGCCGCCGCCGCGTGGCGGTGTCAGGGCGCTTCCATGGGCAGCCCGAGGGTGCCCGAGGACGCTTCCCGTGGGCAGCCCGCCCGAAGGTGCCATCCAGCACGTTTCCCCTGGGCAGCTCGGATGCACCTGCCAGGGCGCTTCCCTGAGAAGCCCAACGGTGCCTGTAGCCACCTGAGGACCCTCCCACCTCAAAGGTACCTTCCCTGCTCGGCTTGAGGGTGCCTGCAAGTACGCTTGCCTGGGTCGCCCGAAGTTACCTGCCAGGGCCCTTCCATAAGGCCCACGAAGGTACCTGCCAGTACGCTTTCCTGGGCAGCCCGACGGTACCTCCAAGGACGCTCCCCTGCGTCAGCCCGAGGGTGCCTGCAAGTACGCTTCCCTGGGCAGCCCGAAGGTACCTGGTAAGCAGAAGTTCCCAGCCGTCCGCCCCGCCCTTCATGGCCCCTTTCTGTGACGCACCCTGGACAAATTTGTGGTGACACAGAGTACAATCGAGCATCTGTGTGAGGAACCTCCTCCTGAAAAGCTTGCTCAGCGTTTCTGAGCCATCTCGCCAGAAAGCTGGCCCAGGTTCTTGAGCACGCTCGCCCCCCCCCCCCCCCCCCAGCGCTGACCAACACATCTGCCCAGGTTTGCTGTAATAGTGTTCGGTAGCCAGGCCCAGGTGTCCTGACTGACAACGTTCCGCCGTTCGTATTCTCGGCTGTCGGCGGAGGGCAGCGCGGGCTCCCCCTCATCGGCGGCTCTTCGGTGGGAGCCCTCAGGGGCCCCTTGGGGGCGAGCAGGTGCGCCTGCGGAGAGCGCGAGGCCCAGGCCCCCGCCTGCCCTTCGCGCGGGGCGGGCCGCGGATTCCGAGGCCCCTGGTGCTGGGCGGGCGGCTCTCGGCGGCGAGCCCCGGGGGGAAGCTCGGTTTTCAGACGGCCAGTTGGCTTCGGCCGCAGGCCGAGGGAGCCTTTTTCTGTGTACCATCGCAATTCCGCCTGAGGAGTGCGCCAGCGTCGATGAACGTCTGGCAGTCGATGGGATACCGCCGATTCAGCTCCGATCGGCGTCGTCTGGAGCCGATTAGCGTCGCCTAGCCTCGACTAGCGTCGATCCGTACGAGCCAGCAAGACGGCATGGGAGGCTCCCAGGAGTTGCCACCGACATTGGTTCCCGAAGGTTTGTCGGCCTCGGGATGCGCTCCAGCAGCTGCGGCTCGCCGCGGGGCGTTCCTGGGGGTGCCGGCATCGTCCCGGAGACGGCCGCCAGAGGCCCGAGTATTATGAGCCGAAAGTCGAAGAGCCCAGGGGGGGGAAGTAGGAGAGGGCGGGCCCCGTCAGAAGGCCCGCAGGGCAGCCTGCCTTCTGAGATGTCCTCGAAGCCTTCCCCGACGATGCAGAAGACTTCTCAGAAGGCGCTGGAGGCTTCTGAGGAGCCGCCTTCTGAGAAGGCCTGCTCCTTCTCACTTCCCCCCGGGGCACACTGCCACTAGAGGATCTGGAACACGCTGGCGGCGTCCTTCCCCCGTTTTTAAGATCGGCCTTTTTTCTTTCAGTTCTGGGCGTCGGTGTTGCTGCGTTTTCAGGTGCGGGATCGGCCAGTAGCCCACCTGCCTGTCTTCCTTTCCCACCACGTTTTCAGTCTATGTTTTTGATGCCAAAGTGTAGCTTGTCTGACGTCCACATTCCAGGGTGTCGGTTTTAGGACGTTTTGGCCAAGCCAAGAGCGACACGTGGCAAATGAAGAAAACGCCCCCAGCGCTCTCAAGATCAGCTGAGCTCGCGCAGGCGTCCCCTGCTTCAGACCCCCTCGCGCTGTGAACACATCACGACGGCAGGCTGGTGCCATTTTCGGTTCCTCGGGGCCCTCGCTGGGCCCCGGGACCGTTCGGAGTCCACTCAGGACGAAAAGCCGGGGAATGGGTCGAGACCTCGGAGTGTCGACGTTGTCTGAAACTGCTGCGAAGGCCTTACGGCGAGTGCCGCCGACCCCGAATGGCGACGACGACGACGACGACGACGAACGAAAAGCCAGGGAATGGGTCGAGACCTCGGGGGGGCGACGTGGTGTGCAGCTGCTCCTGCGGCGTCGGGGGCCCGGGCCGTCCGGGCTCCTGTCTCTCCCGCGCCGTCGGCACGGCCCCGGGGAAGTCCTCGCCCGCACGGGTATGCCGCCGCACGGGCTGCCTCCGCACGGGCTGCCTCCGCACGGGAGGGGCTCCGCACGGGCGGGTGCTCCCCGACGCCGCGCGTGGATCAGCGTCTGGGAAGCGATGGGACAGCCCGATGTAGCGTCGACTGGCGTCGATTTCGTGTCGACGAGTGTCGATGTAGCGTCGATCCGCGACATTCTCAAGAGCCGACAGGATGGCATGGGAGGCTCCCACGAGTTGCCACAGCACGGGCGTGGCCCTGGGAGTCCGACTTCTGCGGCAGCAGCGTCTGAGTGGTGGCCCGCGACTCCTCCTCTCTTCTCATCCTCCTCAGATCATTGGATGCCGAAATTTTGTCGGTCGGGATCGGTAGCGACTCATCGGAACTGCAAATCGGTCGCGACTGATCGCGACCGGTCCTAGAATCGGTCGCGACTGGTCGCCACAGACCGCGACTGATCGGTCGCGACCGATTTTGCAGCAAATCGGTCGCGACCGACACCGAAATTTGAAGCAAAATCGGTAGCGACCGTTCTCGTCGGTCGCGATTGGAACATTCCAGTATCCACTGATCAGGGTCCATCTCTCTCTCTCCCTCTTTCCCTAGGATGCAACTCCTGGGAGGTTAAATTCTGTGTCGGCGCTGGCATTGTCGCGGTCGGTAACCGGCTCAGTCTGTGTTGATCCGGCTTGATCTGGCTTCATCCGGCGTAACCCCGTGCCTAGTCTGGCCTGATCCGGTGAAGTGGCCTTCTCATTGGCCTTAGTCGTTCCAACGAAGACCTCCCAGGAGTTGCCCTCTCTCTCTCGCGCTCCCGAGAGTCCTTCACGCCCCTGCTTGTCTGGCTCGGAGCACCTGGCAGTGATATCGGGGTGCATATGCGCTTCGTTCTCGGACGATGCGCAACGGGCTCGTGCTCGGCCGCCACAATGGTTTGTGAAGCTGGCCCAGCTCGACCCAGCAAGGAGCTGGGGGTCGTGTTCGCGAAGACAGCCTCCGGCGAGGGCAGCACACCTCGTGCTTCGACCCTGCGGGCGCGCAGGGCGGCGTTTGCTGGCATGACCCTGGCGAGCGTACCAGCCGTAGATCGACAGAGTGGGCGGCCAGCTCAGCTTGGAGATCATGCAGTGAAAGTGGCCGAGGGGGCCGGAGCCCATGCGCCAGATCATCTCCGGTGCGAAGACGTAGCCAAGAAGTTTGCTAACTTTGAGCGGATCGGCATGGGTTCTTCCAGCGTGGCCTACCGCGCGCTGAGGCTCTGCGACAAGAGGAGGGTCGTCATCAAGGCACTGCGCCGCTTGGATACGGGCCATGCGTCCTTGGCGAAGCGGGAATTCGATCTCCTTCGCGGTTTCAAACATCCAAACATTATCGTTGCCTTGGATTCACAGGCTTACGCCACTCTGGCCGCCAGCCGTCCATCATGGAAGCACCTCTGGGAGCATCTTGTGGGCCTCTTGGCTTCTTCAAACTCAAATGCATCACAACACCATGGCATCACTTTGCAGAATATTCTGAAGCATGGGGTCAGTTTGATGATGAATGTGCATATTTCCACATGCTCCTCTGAGAAGTCGCAAGGCCATGCATTTTTTCTATTGTGTGTCCGCACCCCTCCCCTCCTTCCTGTTCCACCACAGACAGCAAGCCGCTTCCTTGTCTTCCCAGCGGGGGTGCGCTCCCCAGCGCTCGCCCTCTCTCAGAGGACCGCCAGGCAGCGGGCCAGAACGCGAGCCGCATTCGCATTCGCATGCGCATTCGTATTCGGGGGATGTTTGGGGTCAGGGAGGCCATCTCGGGGTTGTGGATCAGAGGCCTCCTGGATGCGCCATGCACGTAGCACCCCGCAGTCGCGGATAAGAGTGAGGGGGTGGCGGCGACGTCTGCAGTCTGCGAGGCTCTGAAGAAGCCCGCCGCTGGCGCCGTATTTTTACAAAGTATACAACGAGCCCGCAGCGGGCAGCGATTTTCGTCAAAGCAGCGTGCGTGGGTCGCGGGGTGGGTCGCGGGTGGGTCGCGGGTGGGTCGCGGGTGGATCGCGGGTGGGTCGTGGTCCGGGTCGCGGGTGGGTCGCGGTCCGGGTCGCGGGTGGGTCGCGGGTGAATAGCGGGTGGGTCGCGGGTGGGTCGCGGGTGGATCGCGGGTGGGTCGCGGGTGGGTCGCGGGGTGGGTCGCGGGTGGATCGCGGTCCAGGTCGCGGATGCGTCGCGGGCCAGGTCGCGGGAGGGGACGCCAGACAACAACAACACCAACGACAACACCACTACCAACAACAACAACAACCGCAACAACACCACCTACAACAACAACACCACAAACAGCAGCAACATCAATAAAAACACCAACAACATCAACAACCGCAATAACAACACCAACAACAACAATACCAACAACAACAAAAATAACAACAACAATAACACCAACAGCAGCAGCAACAACAACAACACCAACACCACCAACAACAACAACAACAACAACAACAACAACAAACAAGCAACAACAGCAACAATTTGAGGGGGAGGGGGTCCTCCTCCTCCTCCTCCTACTCCTCCTCCTCCTCCTCCTCCGCCTCTTCGTCCTCCTCCTCGGCCTCCACCTCCTTCCCCCCCTCCAACTTATGGTGGTGGTGGAAAACAGCCACGCACCCAGGGACAGTGAGCGCTCGTTCGGCCTCCTTACTCTGATTTTTTGTCCGTGCTTGGTTTTCTGGTGGTTGCTGGAGGGCTTGGTGTGTCCATCGGGGCCTCGTAGGGCCTCGGTGGGGTCTCTTGGCGGCCGCGCGGGTGCCTCCTCGGAGCTCCTCGGAGGCCTCGTGGGGTGCTTCTTGAGCGCCTCTCTTTGGCTCCTTCGTCCTGGAGGCACGGCCAGGCATCCCCCCTCTCTTGGGCCCCCCTTTGTGGGGCCCGTTGGCGACTTTCTTGGGCCGTCTCGGCTTCCTCTTGGGGCCATGTTGGGACCCTCTGAGGCCATCTTGGTGCGGAAGCAGCCTTTTTAATATTTTGTTTCTTCTTCTTCTTCTCATCATCATTCGGATTAGTATTATTAGTATGATTATCATTATTTTTAGCTTTAGTACATCTTATCAGTAGTATTGTCATATATTGTTACGAGGGGCTGCGAGGTTTGGGATGGGCATGGGCAGGATGAGGAGGGGGCACGAAGGTTGAAAAGCACACTGAAAATATAATGACTAAGTGCGCTGCAATTTCGCTGCAGGTCTCGGACATTTCGGATCAGGTCCATGATCAGTACTCTGACCGCGCTAGCGCGCTGGATATTGACTTCTGACCATGCCCGCCTATATGTCGCCGGACTGTCCGTCCCCAGCGACGGCGCGCGCGCCGCGACGGGCGCCGAGGGGTCCGCGGGTGGACGGCGAAGGCGCGAATGAATGGTACTGCGCGGGGGCGCTGAGAAGAGCAAATGCGAGTGGGCAATGGCTGGGGAAAGGCCTGCGATGATTGCATCGGGCGGGGGAGCGGGGGGAGGGGCGAGCGAGGTGCGACGATCGCTGCACTTGCGCATTCATGCCTCACCTCCGCCTCGAAACTGCTACACAACCGACGAATTGTTGCGGCACCGATCGGGCATGCAAATCTGTCTGCGCTTGTGCTGCTGGCCCACACCAGCTGAGTTACCCCCCCCCTTGTCGCGAGCGGTGCTGCGCCGCTGCGTCCGCCAATGCCTACGCTAGGAAAGACATTACACCGTGCACGCAGGTAGGAAACACTCAGCCCGCCTGTTGTTCGGGTTCGTCGCCATCTGAACTGGAGTCGCCCTCGACCAGCTGCCCGCCCCTAGTTAGTGATAACCCGCTTCATGCCGTTGAGCGTCTGCTCTAGGTCGAGAATGGACGTGGTGGGTGGTTTCTTGTACGGCCGAGCATCTGCTTAATCAACCTCCTGAAAAGTTGGGCCAATGTTTCGTAACCAACTTGCTGGAGAGCTGACCCAGTTTCTTAAGCACGTTCGCCCCTCCAGCGTGAACAACAGACGTTGGCCCAGCTCTGTTTGAAAGAACTTTGGGAAGCTGGCCCAGGTGTCTGAAATCATCTGCTCTTGGTAAGGTGTTCGGCTGTAGTGGCGGCGCCTGCGCCCATCTGCATCTCTGCAGTGGCGGTAGAGCGACGACCTGCGGTAGTCGAATTTCGCCTCGGGCGCTGGCATGTCGATGCATTCGTCTGGTCAGGGCGCCAGGGACGGGGGCACGGCAGACGGGGGCGTGAGGAACGCCGATTTCCGCATGTGGCGATGCCGCCGTTCAGGGGGCCCTGAGCGCCGTAGACGGAGGCATAGGAAGGGGGGCATCTGGAAAAGCCTAAACCCCCGTTTGGCTAAGCCCCTTTTTGCGACGCCCCGATCTGGCTTCCTGCGCCTGCTCACCTTGGAGGGTGTTGACAACAAGGTCCGTGCATGCCTTCACCGCAGCATGCAGCCATTCAAAGCACTCAGCGGTTCGTTCGACAGTGGGCACCATCAGGGACATCAGTTCCGTGCCCCTCCTCATAGCGATGCTTTTCCCCGCCGAAGGTCACAGTAGCAATGGTCAGCTGGGTATCTCGTCGGGGTTCACACCCATCCTGTTGAGATCATCGGAGAGTGCGGCTGGTTTCTCATAAGGGCTCCGTGCCTGCACGTAAGCAAATATACCCTTCAGACATCTGAAACACATCAACGTTCATGGACTCCAGATCTCGCTTTAGAGAAACAGCAGTATGGGCTGCACCCTAGGCTTCTTCTTGGAGCTCCCATTTTTCGTAGAACCTCCGTATATATATATATATATATATATATGGAGCTGGACTACTTGTTAAGAAGGCGCTTCGAGTGATGCCCAGTTTCTTCGCGTCGGATTTTCTGAGCTATAGGCAGGGGTGTAGGGAGTAGTGCCTAGTCCACCCGCATTCCTCGCCCTGCGCACCTCATCCACGAGCCCGATCTTGACCCAGCGGTTGTCCTTGTGGGCCGAGCCGAGTAGGATTGCGAGCTGCCGATCTGCCTGGCTGAGCTCGACGTGCGCTGCCCCGCCGATCACTCTGGCGCGAAATGGCACTCACGTGGTGGCACTCGTCGTGCCCGCGCCACGTTGAAGCACGACCCGTAATTCTAGGATGTACCCCTTGGGAGGTTTAGTTCTCTGTATCGGTGCTGTCATCTTCGCGGTCGATCAACTGCTTAGTCCCGCTTTGCTCTCAAATCGGTCGCGACCGATTTGGGGTGCCGATGGGTCGCGACCGAAAAACGCGGTGAAGAACGCGGAAGACAGGCCGGTGGGCTGCGGGCCGATCCCGCATCTGCAAGCGCAGCCACCACGACGCCCCAAAGCTGAAAGAAAAAAGGCCGATCTTGAAAACGGAGGATAGATCGGCGTCGCTTTAACATACTAATGCTATATGCGCGTCGCCCCCCAAGGGGCGACGCGCGCACCGAGATATCTATATATATATATGTATGGATATACATGTGTTTCTATAGATATGTATGTATGTATGTATGTATGCATGCATGCATGCATGCATGCATGTATGTATGTATGTATGTATGTATGCATGCATGCATGTATGTATGCATGTATGCATGTATGTATGTATGTATGTATGCATGTATTTATGTATGTATGTATGTATGCATATGTGTGTATGTATGTATGTATGTATGTATACATGTATGTATGTATGTATGTATGTATGTATGTATGTATGTATGTATGTATGTATGTATGTATGTATGTATGTATGTATGTATATATGCATGTATGTATGTATGTATGTATGTATGTATGTATGTATGTATGTATGGTATGGTATGGTATGTATGTATGTATGTATGTATGTATGTATGTATGTATGTATGTATGTATGTATGTATGTATGTATGTATGTATGTATGTATGTGTATGTGTATAGATATTTGCGTCGTGGTCGGCGCTTTCTGGCCACACCGCTCGGGAAAATATACGCTACACGATGGGTATACTATATGTCCGAGTCGGACGCGCGCCTCCGAGGAGGACATATAGTATCAGTATGTCTCTGTGCGCCCCCCATAGACGCCCCCTGCGTGTTTACGGTCATCTGTCGGCAGAGTGCCCGGGGGGAAGTGAGAAGGAGCAGGCCTTCTCAGAAGGCGGCTCCTCAGAAGCCTTCAGCGCCTTCTGAGAAGCCTTCTGCATTGTCGGGGAACGCTTCGAGGACATCTCAGAAGGCAGGCTGCCCTGCGGGCCTTCTGTCGAGGCCCGCCCCCTCCTACTTCCCCCCCCTGGGCCACTCGACCTTCGGCTCATAGTACTCGGGCCTCCGGCGGCCGTCTCCGGGACGATCCCGGCACCCCCAGGAACGCCCCGCGGCGAGCCGCAGCTGCTGGAGCGCATCCCGAGGCCGACAAACCTCCGG